CTGTCCTCTCTGCAGGCGAGTTAGGAGGAAACAGTTCCTGTTCCTCAGGGAGACAAAAAGCCTTTTCATCAAACTACGCTGATGACATTTAGAAACTGCGCATCCTCACATCTGCCTGGGCACCTTTTAGATTCTGACTCGCCCAAATGTAAATGTTGACATATTACTCAACGTTTTCCATGCTCACTGCAGAAGCTTTTTAAAATCTCCAAGAAACAGTGAAAAGAGGAACAAGGAATTTACTGTGGCCTGAACTTCTTGGTGACACAGTGTGGCCCCTGTTCCGCACACAGGGCTTTACAGAAGTATTCATTCTCTATCAGATATTTTTCACAGTAAAACTGCATTTCATGTAATGTTAAGTTTTTTTTCAAACATCTTTTACAAATTAAAATCTTAACTCGCATTCAGTAAGTACTACAATTATTTTAGGGTTGGGCTGCACAATGTATTGCAAATATATCATCAGTGTAATATCAGTTTATGCAATTTCCATATTGAAAAGAACTGTTTGGAGCACAACAGTTGTTGGATAATATATTCCAAGTGTTATGAACTTGCATGTTTCATGCTAACATCATTGTTAGCTCACACTGGATACCGATGCTAAAGGTCACAGATTGTTGGAAACCCCCATATGAGGAAGAGAGGGAAGAAGAAATAAGAAAACTGATAATGTTATTGCAATATTTACTGATATTATCACTAGATTTTCTAGTATTATGCAGTCCTAACAATAAGAATAACTGTCATTTACACAAAAAAAACACTTATAACATTGCAAAAGGGAGTTCAGATCAGTGCAGGTTAATTGTTCGTTTAATGCTATTCAAGTCATCTGTTGAAAATTTACATTTTGTATATCTTTTTATATCTCTTCTTAGATTTTCCTTTGTAAAAACATTTTGAAAACAACATATTAGTATATTAGTCTCTGTCCCCTTCACAATGCTGCGCTATGTTGACTCCGTCACATAAAATAAATTGAATCTCTGACAGAATTGAAAAAGTTCAGGGGGTGTGAATACTTTTGCAAAGTCATCCAAATGTAATTTTTCTAACAGAGATCAAAACAAGTTTATGTTGCGATTAGCACAGCACCCCGGCCTTTAGCCAAGCATGGACATCAGTAGAGGAAAGAGTGGTTTTCTGATCCGCACAGTAACAAAGGCGAACTCACGAGGGAGCGCCAACATTGGATTTTGTCTTTGTATTTGCTCTCACATCCAGGGTTTCAATGTTAATATTATTATAGGTGGGATGTGGGGGGGAACCTGAAGTCACCTTTGGCTAACAACAACAAAGTCGTCCACATTAAGCTTATTTCAATCCCCATCCGGGGAGTAGATTAGCACAGACGGTAACCAAGGTTTGGGTGTCCTTTCGTGGGGCCACCACTGGCCTTGCTCAGCTCTAACTTTTGATTTCCTTTTCATTATCTACCGCTGTGACGGATAGACCACAGCTACTGAAACAGAGGCCATTGTGAGGTATGAGAGTTGAAAAGCTGTGTAAAGCAGCTATAAAAATAATGCTTTCTACTTCTTTCCTTACAGGTCATTGAAGGAACATAGCACAGAAGAACATAATAAAATATCTACCAATGATAAGGTCAGTCAGAATCCAATGTAATGTTTCTGGGTTATAAAAATGTGATCGCCACCTTTTGCTAATTCTTACATCTCTAAATCTGAACAAACAGGAAGGCAAGATTATCATCTCCACATCTTCCCCGTCTCAGCACCCCCACACACCCACGCCCTGCCACTTACTCGAGATTGTCTCTAATTACTAATAATTACTTATTCATCACCACATAATGATGTTTTCTGTGTTTGCTGTCATGTCATTAATAATTCCTACATCTGTGAAGGCATCCCTGATGCCAAATGAATGATGCATTATGTTTTCCAAGGAAAGTCTTGCTACTTTTACCTAAACAATCCAAACTTTTAACCTTCATCTGTTAAAACATTGAAACTCTGCGGTGAGAGAGTTCAGCTAACCTGCATGCAGGACACAAATGAAGAAACATAAATGACTGTTGTTAACTGGTGCTTAATTAATAAACTGAATTGCAGTGCTTTTCAAAGGTTTTCATTTTGTGACATGGCAGCCACAAACTCTAATGCGTTTTATTGAGATTTTATTAGCTTAACCAATACAAAGTGTCCCACAGTGTTAAGTGGTTATTGAAAAGGTAAAAAAATGGTTTGCCTTCAGTCAGAGGCTTCTGTACATTTGTTGCAAGATTGACTGCTACTGGAGATCCTTTTCTGCCCACAGCATCACCATCAACCCTTTGAAGATGCTTGAATGATATGAATTTGGACATTTAATTAGGGATTAGAATTGTGCCACTTGGCCCTTCACAAAAACCAGCTGTAAATCCAGTTTACCCAACATAATGCAAATTCATTAATTTTCATAGCTCCCCACCTAAGTATTTTGAATCAAGTTCAAAGCTATATGTGAACTAGTTTGTGTTTATTCATGTTAGGTCTGAAATGAAGTTCAAAACTTGACATGCATGTCGTCATTTACAAATTAGCATCTTCATTATGTAATTGCTCAATATTTGTAACACAAGACTTTGTTAGCTCATTTGTTGTAAATGCTCACATAATTTGAATTGAAAATGTTTGAAACCCAAAAGAGTTGCTCTCCTTCACATGTTTTAGGCTCCAATGGCCTTTATGTGACAGGAAGGTGAGTGAGGAAACTTTTGGGAGAGGACTTGAACACGACGGCCACGTAGAGGATGGGTCGCGCGCGCTACCCCTGCATTGCCACCGCGCTAATGCCTGGACGTTTTTGTGCCAAAAAGCAATATAATCCCGAAATTTTGACTGTTATTGCTCCATTTAGATACTTTTTTTTAATAGTTATTATTATTTTTAAACACTACAAGGTTGCAGTTCCTCTCAACAAAATCCTAATCCTGAGTAGGGTCAGAGTACAGGTTTGCGATCCAATTTTTCATTTTGGTTTAAACTAACTAAAAAGCTAACGTTTTTTTTGTTTGTTTGTTTGTTTGTTTGTTTGTTTGTTTGTTCGTTTTTTTTTCATTTTTTATTTAAAGCTAAAAAAAAAAAAAACAAAAAAAAAACAGAAGTGCCTGAATGTACGCGGAACGACTTGGTAGGTAGGCAGGTAAGTTAACATTTCCTGTATCTACTAAAACTACTAAAAGATGATTCTACCTCGTGTCTGATATTATCCTGGTGTAACAAGGACAATCCTTCAGTATTTGCTGTCAACTCCAACCCCAACATCTCATCAAATAGGATTCCATGCTAGTGATGCAGCGAGAAACATTTAAATTTTAAATACAAACCAAACAGCAGGAATGCAGTAATGTCATCAACACCCCCAGAGTGAAATCAAGGTGAGATTGTTTACATTTTGCCGGATTCCCTTGGCAAAGTTTGAGTCATGCTCACGAGAGTCAAGTGGTGAGCTGCTGCCACCTAGAGGTTGAGCTTCTTGATGCATGTTGAGTAACCACAGGTAGACTTTAAACATTTATTTTGTGTAGATTGAAATAATCAAACATGAAAAATGGGATCTTGTCGTTCATTTTAAAATGGTATAATATAATATTAGCATTTAATTAATATATGACTTCAGATAGACGTTAATACTAATCACTCAGATGGACATGTTTGCTTTGAAATATATTCAGCTGTGTCCAAAATAGGTTTGACATGTGTCAACAGTATTATTTTTCATTATGTTGGTGATTCTCTGCTGTGTTAGCATAAATCAGTGGAGACAAAATAGTTCACTCACAACAACAAGGGAAAGACATATACTTGCAACTTAAACTTAAACATATATATATAGTAGAATGCCCATATTTTCTGACTGAAACAATATTTAATCACTGTTTTCCACCCATCTGTCTGGTGGGATTAGGAGATTTAAATCTTCCACTTGCTGTGATAAAGTATTTATTCTCACAGTGTGTTTGCTCGAACCGCCTGCAGCCATCTGTTTGCAAAGTGAATGAAAGGTGAGATTAAAACACGTTTTCCTCCTAATCTCGCTGCAGTGTGAGCTTGTGTAAAAAACTCTTTGATCTAACTTGATTGAGTGTCGCAGTGAACCCACTACTGCAGTGGCAGACATGACAATAACAGAGACTCACCGCCAGGTGTCAGGTTTGGACAGTATCAAATAAAACTGTTCAAATATTGCTTCATAAACGAAATCCTTCCTTTTCAACTCCAAAGATTGAAGTTTTTTTGGTTTAGTCCTCAACAAAAAGGTATGTGATTTAATTTTGAATAGTTTTCATCATCCCATTTGAATGCATACACCAATTAAAGTGGATTGAAATGGTAAATATGCAAAAACTTTACTGTTTTTATGCAAATCATAAATCGAATCTTTATTTGTTCAAGTCTGGCTTTGATAGATAACAAGCTATTATTTATATTATTTATTATTATTTGGAGTACATTAATCAGATGTATATTAGAAACATTTTGTTATATGTTAGAAAAAAGAAAAAACCAGCATATAAATACTTACAAACCTGTCAAACAGGAATAAGTATGAGGAGTAAACAAAAATAAATAACTAAAACTTTTCTGTTTTGACAATGTTTTAGTGTAAAAACATTAACTTCATCAAAAATCTATGGAAAAGACCCCTCAGGGAATGTTGGAGTTTTTGTGTGCAGACATGTCAAAACATTAAATATTAGGTAAGGTTCATTACATTTTTTTAATTAAGGTGAATGTAAATAACAGCGTAATTTGTCACCAGTGTTAGAGGACATATAATTAGTATTATTAATAATGATTATATTTTATTCTAAATCCTGATTTATTTAAGAAGCCCAAAAAGCTTTTCACAGCACTTCAATAAGGACATCATTTAATGCATAGCCATTGGGCAAAGAAAGTGCTCATTTTAATTGGCCCATTTTGCTCTGTTCCCAAATTTGACCAATCAGAGAAGAGGAGGCGGGACTTAGTTGTCTCGCGGTGGCCCAGCAGAGGGAGGGGAGGATTCTCAGTCAGTTGTTGTCTGTTGCTGTTGGGGACACAGTGAGTAGGAAAGGTCTGTGTGTGTGCGTGTGTGCATGTGTGTGTGTGAAAAGTGTGAACTTCCTAAACTAAACCAGACCACTCCACGCTTCTCCGCCTACTTCAGCGAAAATACTACCCAGTGGGACCAACACCAACAGGTGAGTTCGCCCTATATTTTCATGTTCCCAGGGCTTTAGCTTGATTTGAGTTAGAACCAAGTTGTCTTTCCCTGTGAAACCAGTGACTGTCAAACGGGCTCCCAGAAGATGGGTTACCGCAGGGAGGAAGCGCTAACAATGCTAGGCAACTTTCAGTACTAACTATATGGAGGAATTTTTTACGCTGTATAATTATGTCGCGGTTAAAATATGAAATGACCCGGTATTCATCCCGTTACGTGTCCATTTTGAACCTTTTTCTCTCTCTATTAAACAGCAGCACTGCTAGCAGCTAGCCCGCAAACTTAGCTTGTTACTCTTCGGCTAAATTCCACTTTTCTCCTCTATTTTCCTTTTAATGGAAACATTTAGCCAGCTGTATACAGCTTTGTTACGACTGGCTGAATTAGTCGCCGTGGGAAAAACTTTGGGACTCGAGTGTGCAATAACTTATAAGGGTTTACTAACTGTTTTACAGCCTCAACCTGACAGCATAGCATCATACTTTTCACAGGCAGGTGGTTTATAGTGAAGTACTTTGGACTGCTGGACTATGTCAAAGTCATAAATCAGAACAAAAACTGTGTATAGCTTCACTTTAGTGTATCAGGAGCAACCAACTCTTTACCTTAGCTGCTATCATTAACTCAGGGACTAGTTTAGTCAGTCTTGCACCACTTTGTTTTGTCTCTGAGGTGATGAAAATAAACTCCTTCAAGTTAGTCCTGTTGCTTGTACGAGAACTAGGTCACATGGAAACTTTGAACTGCAGACTGGATGGGCGCTTAACCAAAAAAACTGGTGCCTTCTGATTGGTTTCAGTGGACTGAACTGGCGCTCTTTTGTTCAAGAGGACATACAGCAACAGCTGCACACCCCAGTAACAACAAACGTATGAGTGTGTTTTCCCACGTGCGTGCGCGCGCGCGTGCGTGTGTGTATATCTGTCGTGTTTTAGTCAGAATAAGGCTTGCAGGGTGTATTCGCAGCATGCCTGGCACGCCAGCTGAACTCAAGGTGCTGTTAAACAGGCAGAACAATAGCTGGTGTGGATGAATCCTGATCTCTGCTGGAACGCGCTGTCTTGTTTTGCATGTTCGTTGGACAGATTAGCCTAGTTGTGTCTCTTGGCATTTACGTGGACACTGGGGACCCATAAGCAGCGCTTGTAGCGTTCTACTGATGCAGCGTGGAGCAGCCGGTGGGGGACCATTCAAACAAGCAAGAACATGTAATTTACAAGTTCGCTTTGGCAGAACCTGAGCGAGCGTAACGTGTGTGCGTGCGTGTGTGTCCCCGAAGATTGCATTTTGTATGTGACTGTGCAAACTTTTCTTCTTGTTGCAGAAAAACAGGATATGGTCTCGAGTACAGCGTTTATCGGTGGCATTTTTCGCCTTGTGGCTTTAACCTGCCTCAGTCTGGTGCACAGGAAAGCCTTTGTGTTGCAGCGCAATGTATCTTGTAGTATTTTACCACTGACTGACGCTTAAAAAAAAGAAGAAGAAGAAGCAAATTATAGATCTGACAAACAAAGGAATGAGTTTACTCTAATTTCTGCAAAAACAAATAGCCATCACTCCCATTAGAAGAAAACCAGCATGCACCTGATACAAGGCCAGCAAGCTAGTGTTGATACTTCCCTTTGATGTGGGGAAATGCTTTGGTTGCAGCTATTTGGTTCAGATTACAAAGAAGGCATCAAACTACTGAAATCTGCTACTTTAGACTGCCAATGGAGCTGGAAGGAGAAATGTGATATTTGCTATAAAGCTGTTCCTAAACGTTTAAGTGAAACTGCTGGAAGCAGCATTTTTCATTTGCAGAAATCTAGCTGTATGTCAACAGATACAGTATGATGCTGCATTTGAGGTCTCACGGTAGGAGGACCAGATGATGCAAGTGAAACCATAAGATTTATGTAGAATAAGCAGCTCAAAGCCTCAATAAACCAGTGTCCTCTTTCTTGCCTATACAAAGGTGATTTGTTTTTATGTTCTTGCGTTGTAGGCCTGTTGCAATAAACAGTAAAAAAAAAAAAAAAAATTGGATGATAGATTAAAATGAGCTCAGTCATTGCCATTTGCAATGTTTTATTTTTCTTTAGTCTTCAGTCCATTGTGATTTTTTTCTCAACTTGCTCTTTTTTGAAGAACAGTTTTGTTTACAGAGACTTCATAATTCATTTTGTTTGTTGCTTTTTTTTTTGTTTGTTTGTTTTTTGTTGTTGCTATTTTGGATATTTAAAATGTCTTCCAGTTCCAGTGATAAATCTTCATTAGAATTTAAAGTTTATTGGCTTTTGAGAATGTGTTCTTGCATTATTATGCCATTACCATTGTATTACTTGAAAAAAGTCTCAAAACAATAGTATCATTTATTGTAATAACTTCTGGGAGAATATAGTAGCCAGCAAGATGTGTTTTTTTGACAGGTCTACTTAATTGAAGACCTGTCAGTAAGTAGACCTTTGAGAACACATTGTCAAATGTGTTATTTTAAATTAATTAAAAATAAAAAAATAACTAATTCCCGTATATTTACACTGCCATGAATTGTGGTAATGTTGATTAATATGCACCGTCCTAATCAAATTAAATAAACCGATTTCTGCCAGTTTCAGTATTTGGCAAGTTTGTTCAGCGTGTGTTCACTCTAGGCTCAGGATATTTATGTTTTGATGCAAACTTTGCTTCTTTTTTTTTATTTTACAGGTTGTATTTCCTCCATAACTTGTTTTTGTGATTATTATGAAAAAATAAATGATACACCAATAATCAACTGACCAATAAATTGATTTTAATATTAAGTAATCAGCTGATATTTATGTGAAACCGATCTTATCTACTTCAGCAAATATCTGAAAACCATTAATGAAAACAATAGTCATCCCACTGTTGCCAACATAGTGATTTTTGTCCACACATTTGGCAACTTTTCAGATAAAAACAAAATCAGTATCGGCCAAAAATGGACTTGGCTGGTCAGGCTTTTTTAAAGATCAATGATCGGCCAGAAAACTGCAATCTTTGCACCCCTAAAAAAATGGTATGCAGCCTTTAAAGTCAAGACTGAATTTAAACTAAACAAACTGTTAGAGTTTTAGTATTCACACCCCTTTAACATGTCCACATTGGATCATATTACAGTTATTACATTTTATGTGTTTAATATAATGGAATTGGCATAATAATGCAAGAACACATTCTCAAAGTTCAGTAAACTGTTTGGCACCCCAAAATAAAATCCAATGGTTTCCAATAACAGGATCCAAAACGGTGGGTAACCTCTCAATACAACTGAGGCCCCTACAGATCTGCTGCTGAACATTAAACAAACATCACCGTAACGACCAGACAGCTCAAGAACATGCATAGAAATCTCTGTTTATGTAGAAGTGAAAACACACCACCTCCATGGTGAGACGCGGTGGTGGCTGTGTCATGCTGTTGGCAGACTTTTCTCCTGCAGGGATAAATTCAGATTAATGTGTTAGAATGGCCCCATCAAAGTCAAGACCTGAATCCACCTGAGAATCTGACAAGACATAAAAAGGTAATATTTGCAGATGCTTGTCATCTTTTTTTTTCTGTTAAAACCAGACATGATTGTACAAAGGTTTGGCTCAGGGAGGCTGAAGACAAATTTAAATCATCACTTGGTAATGTTTAAAAAAAAATATATATATATCCTTTTGTTTTCCACTTCACAAATATAGACTACTGTTGTCCCGTCACATCAAACCCCAATAAAATACACTTTGTGGCTGAAACGTCACACAGTGTGAGAAAATCTACTGGATTTGCAATGTTTTTGTGAACTTCAGCATGTCCCTGAATTCCTCTGATGTGCTGTATTTCATGCCCTTATCAGCTACTAATCGGCCAGTTGTATATTCCCCAATGATCGCTGCTTACTCAGCCAACGCTGCCATCTGGGCTGGACAAGGGGGGGGAAAAATTTAACACCTTCACTGGAGAGCCGCTAACAGATTTTGTGGGTGTGTAACAGACACAATCCAGAAAAGGTGTGAAAAACAATTTTACACTCCCTAGGAGTGGCCTAAAAGGCTTCAAGACAAGTGATCACCATGAATTATTTCATTACATTTTTCTAAAATCAAAGCTATTTTAAAGATGGCTTATATTTTAGAGACTGCATTATCTTCAAAAGCTCCAGCTTTGCTCATACAAAGAGTAGAGCCAGCTTTGTATCTGTTTCTCACTTCTTCTCTGCTTTGACTGGAAGTCAGCATAACCATTCATTCAAGGTTATCACCCTCCAATGGAAAAGCTCCCCACCTTCACGAGCCCTTTCATTTATTTATTTATTTATTTTTAACAAAAATCCTAGTTGGAAGAACAAGCTTATTGTCTTAAAAGCTTAAAAATGTTTTTACCACGTAAACCCCCGAAGGTTCAATGTTCACCAGCATTAATGTTTCACAGCCTCCTGTTTTTTTTTTTTGTTTGTTTTTTTATTATTTCCCTCAAAATAATGAGTTATTTGTCTGTCGTGGGCCAAGGCTGAGTCACTGTGAAATACCAGCCCCAAGCTTCCTGTTTTACCCCAAACTAGCCGTCTGCATGCCGCTTTATTTGTCACTGAGAACAAGTGTGTGTACAACTGTGCTGCCTTGTGACCCTGCACACTTCCCACTCACGTTTCACTTTTTATGCTCACATCCTGTCAGGTCGGCGGCTGCTCTCTGTGAGTCTGCTCTACGGCTTCGATAAACTCTGCCTGGCTGTTCTAGGTTCTGTTTGTTAGGTGTAGATCGCCTCTCTGCTGTTAATGCGTTTCTCCTTTTTATAATAATAATTTTGAAAGAATGTTGGGAGTTTTTTTTTTTTTTGACTTGCCACTTTACAAAACATTCTACAACCCTCTCGTCATTGCTATAGTTTACACATCAACATTTTACTCAACATATAACTTTGCATATAACTTAAAAAATTGGTGTGTGGCAATATTGGCTCAATTGGAAAGCTTAATCCTCA